AAAGAGAAAATATCTAAAAAGCCAGAAAATTATTCGAAAACTTATAGAATTTTAATATTTGTTAAAGAATATTATGATTTACCATGTCAAGCTTTACGAAAATAGAAAAATATTAATCCAGTAAGCATGCTATTATTGATATAGATATTTTCCGTTATATTGGTGAGTGCTGTGTGGCAGGAACTAATTGATCTAAAGCCAGATTGAATTTTGAATATAATAGGTTATGAGTAGTTAAATAGTTGTTGATATGGAAATGAAAATATTTTTTTAAGTGGTTTAGAGACAGCTTGTAGAATTGATATAGGTCTGTAATTGCTTGCCAAACTTTACCAGATTTTTTGACAATACTTCGCCAGCTTCAAGATATCTGTTTTTAGTTAGTGAAATACTTGTTTGGTGTTTTTGGACGAAGGACCTCTTTCTTACTTACGACTCCTGTGTACTTTTATTGGAAATCAATCAAGTCGCCAAGGAGCACTTTTCTCTTGTTTTGGAAAATAGCCAACTTCCATGAGCACAATTAAACTGTAGTCCCCGCACAAAAAGGTAAGTAAATGGACTACAGACAACAAGGGGTTTACTATGCCCCTTTACAAAGTCTTCGTTATACGTTAACGTTATAATTAATTAAATTAAAATATATACTTTTTTTGTCATTTAAAATATACATACATATAAATTAACAAAAAGCAAAACATTTATACATATAGGATAATTCTTTGAATTTTTTTTTCATATTTAATATGCAAATTTTAACGTGCGGGACTGCAGTGTAGTGGCGTTATGCCATTGGAAGCCTTCTCTGTTTATACGCTCACATGAAATGGGGGTGCATATTGTCGCCACCCTGTCCGCCCACAATTGCTCGTAAACACTCTACAAGGCACAATTCTTGATTGATTTCGACGAAACTTGGTATGGTTGTTTGTAATTACCCAAAGGATGAACCCTATTGAAAATCAGAAATATCGAAAAATATTTAGTATGAGTCATTGCCCTTGTTCTTAAAATACTCGTAAACACTCAAGAAGGAGCAATTCTTACGGATTTTGATGAAACTTGGTGTGGGTGTTTGTTATCACCCAAGAATGAACCCTATTTAAAATCAAAGATAGCTTACCAGGCAGGGTAATATACGTCCACTGGCACCTTTGATTTTAAATAAAAATATTTGGCATTACAGTAACAATTACCAGTATGAAATATTTAACCTCAGATATACACTTCTTTTGAACTTTTTGAGGCGATACTGAATAATATTACATAGTTTAATCAAATCTGTCAAGAAGTGGGCCTTCTAGAATGTTTACAGGCTAAAACTTGAACGCGTTTTTTAAGAACAGGGGCAATAATAGGTTTATCTTTGGGTGATTACATACACTCACACCAAGTTTCGTCAAAATCCATCAAGAATTCTGCCTTCTAGAGTGTTTACGTGCTACAAATTGAACCCATTATTAAGAACAAGGGCAATAACTCATACCAATTATTTTTCGATTTTTCTGATTTTCATCTTTGGGTGATTACTAACACTCATACCAAGTTTCATCTATATCCGCCAAGTTTTGTGTCTTCTAGAGTGTTTACAAGCTAAAATTGAACATGTTTTCAAGAACAAGGGCAATAACTAATTATTTTTTGTTCAAAAGAAGTGTATGTCTGAAGGTTGAATATTTCATACTGGTAATTTTATTTGTACTGCCAAATATGTACAGAGATGGATCCATATGTTGGAACTATTATTACAATAATATGATACTTGCACAAAAAAACATGTTTGACATATTTCAAGTAAAAGTAGACATAATAGCAGCTTCACTACTGAACTTCTTGTTTACTCCTGCTAAGACTACCAACTTGCTTGCTCTTACTTATTCATTGTTAACTAAATGTTTGTAACCATTGTGTTAAATAAAACCTTTTAAAACTAACTTTTGAAACGGATGTTGACATTTTGAAACGGAAGTATGAATATTCATATCTGAGCAAGAAATGATGAACAACAAACGGCATGACCTAGAGGAAATTTTGGCTAGTCACCTACAGAACCTCAAATTTCAAAACTCAACTCCCTGCTAAATCTGCTTAGCAATCCCTTTTAAAATACAAACAAAAATCACTAATAATGAAGCTATTTGATATTTGACATGGCTTATCCACCCAAACTGGACGAGGCCTATGTATACATTATTACTGATCGTAACAATATTCTTATGTTGTTTCAATGATTTTTAGCAATAAATTACTCTTACGTTTTACTTATCTTATTTTGTCAGTCAAAAAAAACATTGTTCTTTGAAGGAATATTCATGAAATATTATTAAAGATAAATAAGAAGAAAAGTTACCACTGGGTATCCATACAACGTGTGTTTCTCAACTTATTTATAGATCAAACATTGTACATGAAAATAAGTGACGCATTTTGCAGCCGTTGTCGAGCTTGTTGCTCATGAAATATGGGTAAAGGTGAGGGATTCATAAAGAAAATCGAAACAAACCAATTTTAATTACTTTATAGAATATCCGAGGAAACATCTAGCCTAAGACATAAGAATAACACAAAATCCATATTTTAATTCTAACCAATTCCTTATATGCACGAATATAGGATTATAGGCTACATCACTGTACAATATTCCGTCGCAGCAGCAGCGCAGTAAGAACACTTTGTGTGACGGGGCCATAACCTATCACTTGATTCAAATATAATTGGATATTTGGAAGATGTAATCTCTGAACAGCTGCTGTACTGCTATCTATTACATAATGAAGTGCGCGTTAAAGTTAACTAGGCCTACAGATTAGCAAAAAAAGCCACTTGGGCCATTCCCAACATATTGTAATGTCTTATACTGAAGACAGATTATCAAGAATCATTATTTGAAATGTTTTCAAATATGATGTTAATTTGTGATTATCACCAATTTCTTATACTTTGTATTTTACATTTTGTTTTATCATGCGTTGTTGTTTTTTTTTGTAATACAAGTCTTTAAATTATACGAATATGCCAATATTGTGAGTTTATTTCAAAAGTTAAAAAAACAATACTTACATTACATTAATGTCTTACAAAATTTTTCCACGAGCTCTTTATTATTATTTTCGTTATAGGCTATATGGGCGCATCCATCTTTGTTTAGTTCAATTTTTAACCTCAACTGTTTAAAGAGAAACGAAATAAATTCAGAATTCTTTAAGGGGCCCTCACACCTTCACAAGTAAATCCTAAGTATGGCTGAGAATAAAATAACGGTCAATATTCCGTCGCAGTAGCAGCGCAGTAAGAACGCTTTTCCGGTGTGACGTGGACATAAGCTATCACTTGATACAATTATAATTGGATGTTTGGAAGATGTAATCTCTGAACAGCTGCTGCTGTCTATTACTTAATAAAGTGCGAGTTAAAGTTGACAACAGATTAGCAAGAAAAGCAACATTCGTCATTCCGAACACATTTACTGTTCCTTCAATCACTGGGACTCACAAAATAAAAGGTACGTACGAACCGCTGGGTTATCGGGTGGTCCATACTTTTTTTTACCTCATACATAGGTCTATAGGAGGACATCTTTTCACCAAAATCACAGTTTTATAGGATGAAATACTCTATAGAAGCCTATAAACAGTATTAAAATTCCAAGCCCAAAACACTGCCACCATTTTCAGAACAAACGCTTTTATCAAGAATTGTATCTGAAAATGTCGAACTCTGTGGGATATCAGTAAGTAAAATACTAATGCAGAAGTCATGTGAAGCAAATATTTAGAAAAAAGATATAACAAAATTTTTGATTAAGCTATAACATGATATCGAAAATTCCCTTTGGTCTGTTTGATGTATAAACGGGTGGGTGGCGGTTAGGTGTGATATAACTAGGGTTAAATCAAAGTTATAACATCATATACTCTGTAAATGTAGAGAGACCTAAGTTTTTCCACAGCTGACATTTTACCCCAATCCTCTGCACGTTTACCAACAAACATAACTAAATTTTTATTGTTCGGTTGTAATCTGAGCAAGATTCTCAATACTTTTTCACAAGGAAATCTTCATCACATTTCGTACTTCATGGTTCGCCATTTTTTGGGAGTTGATTTGGGTCTTGAATATGCAAATAGTCTTCAGAAGTACTATAAATAAAAGTGAAAAGTCAAGTTTGAGGTATATTTGAAGGATATCGCGATTGCGATTTGGTACAATTCTGGTACTTTTGAAGACTATATACTTATATTCAAGGTCCAAATCAACCACAGAAAATGGTGATCCATGGCCTTTAAGGTAAAAATTGGGATGCAGAGGGGATTTGAAATGTCTTGGAGAAAGAGTATGTAGCTTGATTTCAGGTCTTATTAATAAAAGTAATAACTCTAAAGCCTAATGAACTTTCCTGGAAAATAGAAGCTATTTTAGTTTGTTAACATCGAACATGTACAGTCTTTTAATTGAAAATTTAATAATACAGAAAAATTAAAAGATCGAGGTGTATCTATTTTAATTTAATCAGGAACATATTGTTAATAAACCATGATCCGATTATAAACAGCGTTTTTATATGTGAAAATCTCACCAAATTCTGAGGTAAACATGTTTGTTTGTTAACCTGATAGATTTACTTTAGCTAATTATGAACATTTTGGTGGGATGTGGACGATGGTGAAGGTTGTGTTTTAACGTGTATATTTAGTGACAATGGTAGAAGGCAAGGAAGTGTGTTGTAACATGGATTATATATCATTTTAACGACATAATGATTTATAGAGAATGGAAAAAACGAGATTCAAATATTTAATTGAAACGATACCGAACTTATTTCATGGATTTTCTGGTTTATTTCAGTTGAACGTACTTGTCTTTGGATTCCTATTATTTTCTAACCGTATATACTCAGTGGACGTTTCATACTTATCTGTGGATGGACATTGCGATCAGTTGTTATTTCTCATGGATTTGTGGAGGATCTGAGGGTATTTAAAATGATCCAAGACTGTATTGATAATACTATTGAGCACCATGACATATTTTTCTCCTGTGATACGTACACTTGTAACTGTGATGATATTGTTTCCAACATTGGATTCTATAATGTTGCTCAGACCGTTCTTGAAACGCAGAATGACGGTAGAAGTTCCAGAACACAATTTCTGGCCGTTTCTACCGATAGTTTCACCATTTAAAAATAACAAAACATATTATGATCTACCAAGACATAATTTCTGGCCATTTATTCCAATTGTTCCACCTATCCGTCCTGAAGGTGAACCGTTACCAACTCCTCCAACTCCATCAATACCATGGGTTCCTCCTACTCATAAGCCTACAGGTAAAGTAGAATATTGTTATATTGACGTAACACGAAACGATGAAAATGTGTTCATTACCATATTGAAATGTTCAACATCGTGACTTATAGCTTTGCTGGGGAATAATTTAAGAACGTCGACATGTCATAAAAATGTCCTATGGAATAGAAATGCTTTATAGATGCTGATCTAATCATTTACAACAATGTTAAAAATACCCATTTTCAGAAAATGACAAATGTTTCGATGCAAATATGAAAATAATGCAAATAAGGTTGATCTTAAATCATTTTCTTCCAACATTGCTACAGAACCAGTCTTCGAAATCATTTCAAAAAGTTTACATTAAAAGGATATTCTGTATCCAGAATATTGTAAAACGCAGTTTTTTTAGTACAGTCATTTAGTACAGTAAGACAAACATTGAAAGAATGTGTTACTTAAACAGCTTTAAGACTTTAGCACAGTTTTCATGATGTTGAAAAGACCATGTTTCTTTGTATCACTATGGACATTAGAAACATTAAATAAAACGTTATTATCTCACGACATACAACTCAAACAAAACTTGTTAAGATGTCGTTTTAACAGAAATGTCAAGAAAGGTTCACCAAATGTCTATAGAAAGGTTGACACTGTGTTTGTCAGCTAACCCCGAATTCGATATACGAGATAAGATTGTACTATTCTATTGCAGTATCCATTTATTGATAGGTAGACACAAATAGGAATGTTATAATAAATCATATTGTTTTAGATTATAATTATGACGAAGTTCTCCAGAAGTCTATTTTATTTTACGAAGCCCAGAGGTCTGGCAGGTTACCAGCTATAAGGAATATAGCTTGGCGTGGAGATTCGGCTTTACAGGACCAAGGCATATTTGGTGAAGATCTATCGGGTGGTTGGTACGATGGTAAGATATAATCCTCCTCATGTTAGTGCCTCAATGAAGTTAGTTATCCGACACCCCATTTCAACACATATCACAAACATCACGTGTGCAGACCACATCATTAAGTAGAAAGAACAACAATTATAGTTTGTTCATAAAGTATAAATCGCGTCAAGAAATATCCTTTACCTATTACTATCTTCAAAAAGTGGAAAAAACTTGAACCTGATTTCGGCAATAGTGGTAATTTGTTGGAAAACTGATTCTTTGTTTGTTTCAGCTGGTGATTGCGTCAAATTCGGGTTTCCAATGGCAGCATCTACCACTTTGTTGCTTTGGGGATTCATTGAATTTTACGATGGATATGAATATGCAGGATTAGTCAATGAAATGTATGACTGTGTTCAGTGGCCACTAACGTACTTTATGAAAGCCCATCCAACTAAATTTGAATTCTATGCTCAGGTAGATAACAATCAAACTAAGTCATTTCTACAATTAAAAAATTGTTTGCCATAAACGAGAAATCCAAATTCGATGCCGCAGTCCGACATAATAGTCCTATACAGTGAACCAAACATAAGACGAACATATCAGGTGAAACCAACATATTTTCATAATCAAAACCGACATTTCAATTCAAATGGTGGATGTTCACACTAATAACATTTTTTAAGATGAACTGGTAATGCAGAAATTTTATATTTGATACTTTTTTTTAGGTAGGTGATCCCTTTATTGACCATGACTATTGGGGTCGTCCAGAGGATATGACTATGTATCGTCCAGCATATCGACTATCTCCAGAAAGACCTGGAAGTGACGTCATTGGTGAAACAGCGGCCGCTTTGGCAGCAGGTTCAATTGTTTTTAGAACAAGAGGTATGTTTATACATTATTTACATAATGTTTCCATAGTAATTAATTAAAATGAATAAAATTCTATATACTCTCCAGTCATTCTGTGGTAAAAGTTCATATAAGCAAACATCATTGAGCTATGTAATTTAAACAAGCAATATGTCCCCTATATCAGAATTGCTGTTATGTATACATTCTGTTATTCCACAACTCTTTGTAGACCCAGCCTTGGCCGGGGAGATGTTAAGGCATTCAGAAGAATTATTTGAGTTTGCGCAGAATTACCAGGGTTTATACAGCGAATCCATTCCATCTGTTAAAGAGTTCTACCCGTGAGTCACTGTTATTCATTGTAATATCTAAATCAATGCTGAAACCGTGTTTATAACAAGACTTTAATCATATACAATTTGTTTCAAACAGGTCAATATTAGATTTTGGCGCAATTTTAGACGTAACATCATCTATAGATATTTTACCTCTTGTACTCTTAAAACTGTTTATTAATTCTGCAGCTCAAGTCAGTTTCAAGATGAATTATGTTGGGCAGCAGCTTGGTTATACAGAGCTACGGGAAAATTTACCTACTTAGATACTGCTGAACAATATTATGTTTCTAAGCATTCATGGGCTTTTAATTGGGAAGACAAAACAGATGCTACGAGCGTAAGTGTTCTATCTAAATAAACCGTGTCTCATCTATAGTGCGAACAAAACCTTTTCATTGTGTATGTATTTATTTTTGTTCCACTCCCAACTGTTACTTATGATTATCATTTCTAATTTTTATAATTTCCATTTCCAGTTAATGTTATTTATGTTGACTAAAAAGGAGAAATATAGAGATGATATTGAGAGATCGCTTAGGGATTGGCTTCCAGGAGGCACTGTGCCGTACACTCCTAAAGGTCTTGTTTTTAGGGCAAAATGGGGATCTTTAAGATTTGCCGGTACGTATATCATTCATCTCATGATGGGGTATCCTAAGGCACAAGTTGAATTCTTAATACTCCTCATAACTTATAATGATAAATTATCTAATTATTAGGTTTAAAAGTCAATACCACTTAATCTCATCTCTCTATGGCGTTTGTTTCCGACTTAAATAAATAAATGAAACTGTTTAAGTGACGACATCGACACTATTCAATATGAATGTATTTTGGTGTTTGATGTGTGCTCGAGTTTATTAAAACAATTGTAGTTTGTAGACTGGCGGTCGGTTAAGAGCTGTCTGTCATTGTTTGCGTTGGTTAACTTGCTCGGAAAAAACTTAATCTGATGTCAATGTCGTCAGATGATCTGTAAAAACTGCTAATTAAATATCAGACATCATGTCCAATCTATGAAGGAGGAATGAACCAATCAGTCGTATTTTTTCTAGGTAATGTAGCATTCCTGGCTCTTGTAGCAGCTAACGCAGATATAAACCCATCTATGTACAGAAGATGGGCTAAACAACAGATCCATTATATATTAGGAGATACTGGTAGAAGTTATGTTGTAGGCTTCGGAAATAATCCCCCAACTCGGCCTCATCACGCTTCTAGGTATTGATGAACTTGATTATTTACGTGTTGCTTCCTTTAAAAAATGCTTAATTCTTAAGGTAAACCTTAGACCTTAAATGTGTCCTTCCATTCAGCCACCCTAATCTATGGTTTGGGGATTAGTGTATTGGTGTGTTGTGTTGTTTTTGAAAGTGGAGAAAAGAGCTTCTTGTCCTTTGACATCGGTATCTGTAGCTCGTGCCACATCAATGATCGCATTTTGAAAAACTTTGCAACATTTTCTCATTTCAGTTCGTGTAACTCACCACCATTGCCTTGTACGTGGGATGATTTCTCTAAATCAACACCTAATAGTCATATACTATATGGAGCTGTCGTAGGGGGGCCAGATAAATTCGACCATTTCGTTGATGATAGAGAAGATTTTATTCAGAACGAAGTCGCCTGTGATTATAATGCTGGTTTCCAGTCGGCTTTAGCAGGTGAGATTTTTGCTATGATCTGACCTAATCTGATATGTATCAACTCGTATTTTGATAGTTTCTGGTAGAATCACAGCTACTGCAACACTTTAATTTTCACAGGTCAGAATGTGTTTTTCAGAGTAAGTTCCCAAACCGCATTCAAACCTGTAAATATATTCTTTTCAGGTCTAAATCAACAGAAATATAGACAAGTAAACCTTATTTGAAGAAAATTAAGCTTTCAAGATGCTTTGCTTTTTACACCTTTTAAGATACTTTGCTTTTAACAGTTTTAAGATATCTTGCTTTTTGAACGCGTTTCGACACACCCAAACAATCCAATGGACACACATCAAATTCTAAAAAAAACCGATTCTTGTTGTCTTTTTACAGCTTCTAATTGATGTTTTATAATGTGTATCGACTAGGGCAGCTTCAGTAACATTGATGATGATTGCCCTGCAAAAACATCCATCGTTGTAATATCAGGTTGTAAGAGTCAGCAAGTTTCATTCGGCAGTTCTCAGCAGTAAAACTGAATCTATATATTCTGCTCGCCAGTTTCCGTAAAGCTCAATCTACGAATCTATGAAAGCTCAATCTATGACTGGAAGTTTCCGTTGGGTACTCTGGGGCAAGCTTGTTTCTTCCTATATTTCGCCACTAAATCTGTGGCGTAAATATATTCCATAGCTTCGGGAGATTATTCTTACATTTATTAATGCATTTGATGCTAGATTTGAATTATCTGTTAACTATTTATGCATTTCAACTTCATTATGAATCTTTCGAAGTTTTTGTTTTTATTGGCTTTTTATATACAAACAGCCAATTATGTTTGAACTACCAGAATCACTTGACAATTTGCAAATAGTTTCCACAAACATTGGCTGCCAATAAATACAGTGATATGATGCAAAGCGCTAGTGGAACGGTCGACTGTTTGAGCAATACGTTAGACTCCCATTTGCGATGTTGAATTTGAGATTTATAACGTTATATGTAAAACTATAAAAATAAATCTTTTTTCTGTTGATATTTTTTGTATTCAATTATCAAAGACGATACACTCTTAGTGTGAACTTTTTTAGATGCTAAAAATACAGACAATTTTGAGGGTTTTTTGAGGCAGAAATTATATCCGGAATATAGCCAGCTAAATTTTGGATTCAAGTATAGGAGCAATTATCACATAATTTGGAAAAGGTCGTCGTAATTAGAAACCAGATACTAACTTTAGTTTGATCCGATGTATATTTTATTGAATATTACTGTTAAACAGTTTTAACTATGTATACTGTTATGTAATGAGCTATATATATCAGTGATGTTACAAGCTAAACTTTTCTACAATTGTTACAGATTTGTAAACTTTGGTTTTCTATTTTCTCATCATCACCATAAAGATAAATTTTCACAATTTGAGAGTTTGTGCCAAAACACTAATCCTAACCGTCGGCCAGGTTTCATCTTTCACCCCCCCCAAATACCTTGCCCTTGCCAGACTATATGAGTATCTCCTTGAAGGGAGAATTTTTCGAACTGTACGTCAAAGCTTTTCAGTTGCTCAGTTGGATTGTCTTCTGCTAGGCGATTAGGTGCCGTGGGTTCGAATTCTCTCCAAGGTAACAAAATTCTGATGCCTGTGTGAGTCGACCCGATGTCGTCTTTCACCCCCTAATACCTAACCCAAAAGATTAAACTTTCCTTCATATTATCACGACTCACAAACATGATCTATGATTTTGAATTTTACCTTGGAAATGAGGAATAATCACCAAGGTTGAGTTTTATCTTATCATGAGAAGTATAAAATGGTTTATCTTTGAATTATAACTCTGACAGGTGCTATAGATCTTGACGTAGGTAAGAAATTAATTCCACTTTTATTTCCTTGGTAAAATTTTCTACTTAAATACCTAGACAAGGTGTCTTAACAATTTTTCCTGTGATATACCGATATAAATTGCCTTTATTTTCTTCAATCAATGCATATCCTGTTGGAATGTAAAGAACGCTCAACTGTCAACAAACTTAATTGCTTCTCATGTTTATGTTTTATTTCAAGTCCTTAAAAAAAGCTTCATAACCTAACCTGAAAGACGTGCTCATAAACATGAACAACTATTTGAAAATTTGCTTAAACGATAATAAAGACAGAGATCTTATACGCTTTTAACTTTATTCTTTATCAAATAAGTTTTTTGTTCTAACAGAAGAAGTCATGTGGGCTATTCTACTGACGTTGTTGGTTTCTAGCTCTACAGCAGCAGATTTAACATCCAAGTTTGCTCTGAAACAACACTGGGACAACAATTTCGAAGGTTCCTTTTGTTTTCACTTAAAGTCTGACATAGTTGGTTATGAAATTTTTATTCGTTTTGATGGTGGGGTAAAAAACCTACAGGTAGGCATATTATTTTAATTGTTTTATAACCAGAATATATTAAACTATGAAGATCCGTCCAAGTAGGATGTCACATTGCAACAGTAACATTTCTTTAAAAAAAACTGAACGCTTAGGCCTACTGTGTAATTATGTTTTTTGTATTCATGGATAACAAAGCGCAAAATCATGATGAATAGAACTAAATCAACAAAAGCAAAAGTAAAAGTGTACTTCTGACTTAACATATCAAGGGAAGTAACTCATTATAAAATTAGAAAAAATACTTTATAATAAATATATTGAACCCTCTGGCACATTTATGTTGTTATTATTACAAAATTATATATAGCTATACCTCAACTACACATGAAACTAAAATATGTAAACTCCGATTCGATAAATACTTACAAATAATAGACTTTATTATTAATCAAGCAATGGGAAGCAAACTGGGTAGGTGCTCATCCAGAATGTGCTACCAAATACACTATGGTCAACAAAGAATCTAAAGGCGTACACAAGGCTGGAGAACAACTGTGTATACGATTTATGGGTAAAACTTGTGGTGCTGGTGATCCTTCTGGATCAGCAACCCTTAAAGATCTTTCAGATGATCACCAAACAGTTCCTCATGTTCAAAATATTGGTGGTATGTAGGTCATTATTTAAATTTCCGTATATAAATGTTCGTTTATTGACAAGACAAAAGGTCAGTGGTCACAGTATTAGTCAACTATCTGTGTTCGATGCTTGTTTTCAAGTTGTCATGTACAAGAAGTCATGTACATTTGACATCTCGGAGGCATTTATTAAACTTCGTCATCATATTGTTCTTCAAGGTGGTAAATATAATTACGCCGAGGTGTTGGAGAAGTCGATATTATTCTATGAAGCCCAGAGATCTGGTAAACTACCAGCTAATAACAGAATACCATGGAGAGGAGATTCAGCTTTAAGTGATAAAGGATCAAATGGTGAAGATTTAACTGGTGGATGGTATGATGGTAAGTGAGGTTAAAGTGAATAGCAAGTGAAAGAAATATGTTATCATAATAAAAGAATAGAAAATATGAAATATTCTTTTTGATATTAGATCTAAAACTATATTTTGAGAACGGTGACGAAAGGTGTCTCAAATCTTTGACTGTGGCAATTATAACTACACAATGAATTACAGTAAATGGTGGTTAATAATTTTTGAAATATGAATAAATCAATGAATATCAATCAAATCAAATTCTGAAACCGATTCACCTCATTTTTAGCTGGAGACAATGTAAAGTTTAATTTTCCCATGGCTTGGAGTACAACTGTATTAACATGGGGAATGATTCAATGGAAAGATGCTTATGAGAAAACTGGCCAATTAAACCATATGTATGAATCTATCAGATGGCCTCTGGACTATCTCATGAAATGCCACACGAAACCAAATGAACTTTATGTACAGGTATATAACGACTGTTTTTTATGTTAGACATATATTGGGAGTTATTTTTAAAGTAGTATTGGGTTATTTAAATCTGTGAAGGTGATGTTACCAGATATCCGTCATTACAAAGTAATTCTTACATCTGCCATGGTAAATACTCTTTCTTCAGAATGATTCTGGTGAATAAAGAATTTGTATTTAGGTAGGTGATGGTGGAAAAGACCACGGATCGTGGACTAGTCCTGAACGAATGCAAGGAAGTAGACCAGCATTTAAAATAGATACCACACGTGGTGGAGCTGATGTTGGTATGGAAACTGCCGCAGCATTAGCTGCTGGATCTATTGCTTTCAAAACAAAAGGTAATCAATGCTAGTCATGTTTAGCCTAATGAGGTTGGAGTCTGCGAAGTTCGCGAAACTTGCTACAATCCCCCAGGCGTCTAACCGTCAAAATCTTCTATCGAAGCCTGTGGATTGAGTTAATTTTAGTAGGATTACAGAAACGACGGCAGTAGGCTATGTGCTCAGTAAACATTTCTTCTTCTGTCCTTTGATTTAGTGTAGTGATTTTATTTTGATTCTGTGATCGGGTATGAAAGGACCACACCAAGGGATCAATTAACAGATGTTTATAAACATAAACAAGATATATACAATTAAAAGAGCATAATTAATTACTCTTAACTAAAATACTACATACTATATGCACCACTAAACCATAATCATATGCAGAATATGAAAATAACTAAACTATGCATAAGGCGGGCAACGCCAAGCAGGGTGCAATGAGGGAAATTTTGCCATGACTGCGGAATTAGCATGCTCTTTTTCGATTTCCAATTGTCAAGGGATCTTTAACGTGCACTGCCTGTTGCACACGGGGCCTCGGTTTATTGTCCCATCCGAAAGACTAGACGCTTTTTCCATGTCAGCCCCTCTTACCTCACTGACAAGGGGAAATCGGGTTGAAAAATTCGAAGGTATTATGTCGATTAATGTAGGGATTGAACCCTGGACCTTCAGGTTAACTCACCACGGCTCCCTATTTAAAATGAAGAGCCGAACCCTAGGTAACTATGGTAACCAATAGACAAGAACTATAAAACTATAACATACCTTAAGCCCAACGCAGACGAGGAACATTTCTGTCGACGAACCAAAACATCGAACAAATATATCTGTTTTCCGTTATCCGCAGACGACAAACATAATTCCGCAGACGACGAAAATTTAGCTCGAACAATAAGCCAGTGCCACGGAAAATCACATGACCTCAAAATGGCGACGTCCAGAAGAAAATGTAAAATTGCGTTAGCTATTTTATTAATTTTAAAAAGACGCCAACGTAGACGGCGAAATAGGAGCATTAGGATCCGTACCTGGATTCAACGTCGAAAAGAGCAGGGTGTGTTCGGCAACCTTGTAAATTTACCGGATTGTGCTTTTTCTTGCATCGCAGCGTACTTCTGGTTCCTGTCTGAATAGTCGGGCGACGAAATCATAAACAAACAGGCAGATTGCGACCACATATCTTCTAAAATCTGCTCCTTCTCCACAGTCCAAAATTTTGTGTTGGTAGATTCACTGGACGTCGCCATTTTGAGTGTCATGTGGTCTGGCTTCGATCGCTGATTGGTCTTTCGTCGATGAATGTTCGGCGCTAATGTTCGTCGTTAACGCAGACGGCGAACAAAGAATTGTTTTGGGAACAATTTTAAAAAATCAAACATGTTTGATTTCACGAACAATTCTCACGAACTTTTTTGTTCGTGTTTCTGTAATCCACAGACGGTGAAAAAAATGATGGAAACAAATTTTTTACGATTGTTCGCTTAAAATGTTCCTCGTCTGCGTTGGGCTTAACTAGATAATCCAAATACACAGAAACAAATATCCAATTCACAGTACATTGAAGGAGATTCAATATACAAACTCTTAGGAAGTTGAAAACACCATCCTTCCAGCTACTATGACTGAATTACAACAGGGTTGTCAAGTAATTAGTAAAATTCAGGTTGAAATTAGAAATTCTGAGGTGATGAAAACTCAGAAACAGAGAAAAATATAGGAAACAGAAGCAATGTGCGACTGATTGTTAGATTAATACAGTGACAGAAAATAACTTTATAAACATTAAATACATTTAATTTCACCCTTCAACAATTCTGTGGTACATTTTCACTGAATTATCAATGATTTCAGATAGTGCTTACTCCCATAAACTGTTAACTCAAGCCAAGTCTATTTATCAGTTTGCTAGAAAGACTAACAATCTATACAGTAACAGTGTTAATGCTGCTGCAGCCTATTACAAGTAAGATTAAAATATCCATGAATTGTTTAGTCAATAACTTCATTATGCAATATTCAACCACACTGCATGACTGATCTGTTGATCTGTTGATGTTCTTAGTAACTAGACGATAGTCCTGAAAGTATATCTTGACATTATTTGTAATGTGGTTTTACGATATAATGTAGGTCGAATAACATCACAGATGAATTAGGTTGGGGAGCCTTATGGATGTATAAAGCCACTGGTGATAAATCATATATAGCTGAAGCCGAAAAACATCATGAACCAGGTGCAGCTTGGGGTTTCTCGTGGGACGAAAAAACCGCAGGCGTCAATGTAAGTTATTCAGTGTCTCTTACCAGTCAAGCTAATGGCATTAATATCCGCTCCGAAAACAAATTACACAATTTTTTTTATCATATGACAGATGTTGCTGTACGAAATTACAAAAAACAACAAATACAAACAAGATCTTATTGATACATTTAAATCGTGGATGCCTGGTGGAGATTTACCATATACACCAAAATGTCTAGCATTTAGACTAGAATGGGGAGCTCTAAGATATTCTGGTAACGTTGATTAATGCTACTTAAATAGTCCGAAGTTAGAAATCAAAAGATAAATTTTAATAAGCAAATAATCACCATATCCATTACTGCATATTGACATTCACACAGTTTTAATGGGATGGACGTTCCTTACTGTGCAAAAAAAAATTAATACAAAATAAAAAAAATAAACGAAAAAGCCTTAAGTCAGTTTTTGGTCTTTTACGTCAAGATGAAAGCAATTTAGAACAATGGACGCTTTTGTGTACTCATAATTTTAAGACCTCTATCCCACATATAATGGCATAGTGTTGATAAAAACGTTGAATTTGGACATTTCTAGGGTATTATTGTTCTTGATAATCATTAGATATATAAATCTAATTGTTATAGCTAATACAGCTTTGATAGCTCTGATGGCTGCAGATCAAGGTGTCAATCCCGCCTTGTACAGAAAATGGGCCTTAAGTCAAATCAACTATGCTTTGGGTGACGCTGGTAGGAGCTTTGTTGTTGGATTTGGCAAAAATCCTCCGACACGACCACATCACAGAGCAAGGTAATATCACGATAATACTCATCCGAAAATTACACAATAACATGAACACCAACCAGAAAAGCTGACAGGGAACTTGCAATAAATCAGATTCTCGCTTCTTCATTTCTTTTCACGTATCTCAAAATTCATATTAAATTGGAATGATACATTTTCATATTTATCGTTGAAGCTCGTGTCCATTGTTACCAGCACCATGCGGTTGGTCTGCACAACAGAATCCCGGACCCAATCCACACACTCTTTACGGTGCCCTAGTTGGGGGTCCTGGTAAGAATGATGATTATGCTGATGACAGAAAGGATTATACAAAGAATGAGGTTGCATGTGATTACAATGCTGGATTCCAATCCACTGTTGCAGGTAATGTACTGCCTTCCGCAAGATTACTTCTAAACGTATCCAATTATGATACTCCTCGAGCCTGGTACTGGCCATGTTCCTTTTAAAGCAACGTACATTGACTAAGCTGGAAACGTTTCGGAATTATTCTTATAAGCGTTTTCCCTGGAACCTGAAGAAAACAGTGAGTAGATGATAAAACCAAATAATGTTATATTTTTCAGGTCTAATACATCTAGGTTTACACCATAATTTACCAACTGAATACAAAAGCGTCTGTAGCCACCATAGAAAATAAATCACTTTGTCACATACAGCCTGTCTTATTTTATTGTGTCGTTTATTGGATGCCACGAAAGCTGCTAATAATATTTAAGGGCCCTCACCACATCTATAAAGCAATGACTTAATTAATTTTTTTTAATTGGTTAAATATAACACAATTTAAGCGAACAGTTTTAAGTTTCAATCGGAACACTGACTAGACTAATATATAAAAGCAAAACCATCACTTGGTAAGAAAGTAGAAAACAATCTGTTAGAAAGAACTGTGAGAGGAATGGCAGAAATCAATGAGATGGGACATCCTATAGAGACAAAGTGGACATGATACAGGTTTTTTCTGGATATTTCCTTTACAACTAGAAAACGTGGAGGACAACTCCAGATCGTACAATAACTAAACCACTGAGGAACAAGTATAATCCACTCTGTTTATAGTTCTGCACATCATTTAACCAAGTGAACCAAGGGAGTGATGTTTTCTTTGGTTTAAAACGATCGTAGAGGGTTGATTGATCCATTAAAGTCACTTTTTTTCAAAAGCGAGGATAGTTGAATCTTACTTCTGTAAGTCTAACCGCTGTTTTACCAAGGGCTGTGGTGTTCACACCATTGATTACTAACTTACATAAGTCGGCTTTAAAAATATATAACTCCTCCTAACACACACTAGCCTACTATCGATGGGTTTTAATTCGGTTTCATTTTACGTGTATACAGAAATTTTGTGATTACAATCTTAGAGTGAATAATATCATTACATAAAGATAATCATAGACAGAGATAAGAACCGGTCGAAACTTAAAACCATCTGTATTTTCTTATCTATGGCTATAAAACAAAGGTGTTCTTCTATGTGTGTCGAAAAGCCCCTGGTACTACCATACTGAATATACGTAGGTAAGACACGAACCGTTTTATAGGGGTGTATATTAAGAAACAGTTTTAGCTTCTTAGTAGTCTTCTGAATAATAGTAGCAGTTTCTGTATTAAATATTCAATATCATTTACGTTATTTTATCTAATTTATATAATTACCGATAAGAAACAATATGAATACAAAAAACAAACATACAAAATGCTACCAATCCTGACTTACTTTACTTACTGAACTATTCATCAAAGAATGGTGTAGTAGGGTGATATATTACATATATAATGTTTTTTTTTTCAGAGTAAATAGTGGTCATGTGGGCCTTTTTACTGACGTTGTTGGTTTCTGACTCTTTGACAGCCGATCTGACATCCAAATTTAAATTAGTTAAACAATATGGACAAAAGTTCGAAGGAAACTTTTGTTACCATCCCACGTCAGATTTAATTGGTTATGAAATCTTCATCAATTTTGATCATGGAATAAAGAATTTACGGGTAATGATTCATAAATCTTTATTAGCCAGAATCGTCATTTTATTGTCTCAGTTATAGCAAACAACAGACAAGACAAAAGCTGATACCAAAAGAGAAAGAATTATGCTTACCTATCTACTGTATTATAGAAATTCAGAATTCTATAAATGAACATTTCGTAACGATTCTCAAAAATATTTTGGAATCAAGCTTATGTGACCCGCCAGAAAGAGTATACACGTATAATTAATTATGTATATTATATTCATTTCTTGGGCTGAACTTAAGAAACAGGCTAAAAAATATTGTTAAGATGTAAGTTTTCAATATTTTCAGCAGTGGGATGCCGAATGGGTTGGAAAACATCCTGATTGCGCCACTAAATATACGATTGTCAATAAAGAGTCCCGAGGTCTTCATAAAGCAGGAGTTGAACATTGTATCCGATTTATGGGTGAAATGTGCAACGGTGGTAAACCATCTGGAACAGCGATACTCAAAGATTTAACTGGAGATAACCAGCAAGTACCCAGTGTACCGGATGTAGGAGGTAAGCCCTATTTTCTTTACTCTAGTCTCAGGTTAAAGCATTACTGCTGAATCGTGCTGTTTATAAATACCATCGAAAATAACATGAGATACATAGAAATAAGTAAGCAATTGGCAAAAGGTTTGCTTATATTGTAACAGGTGTGTAGTACTCTTTTGAATATTCTGGTATATTTCTTTGCAGGAAAAGCAACTAAATATAACTACGCAGAGGTGTTGGAGAAGTCGATATTATTCTATGAAGCCCAAAGATCTGGTAAACTACCAGCTAATAACAGAATACCATGGAGAGGAGATTCGGCTTTAAGTGATAAAGGATCAAATGGTGAAGATTTAACTGGTGGGTGGTATGATGGTAAGTCACTCCTTTTCTTTAAGGTTATCTTAGAACTTTTTTTTAAAGAAATGTCATCATTAGCACTTTTCTACACCACAAACTCTAACATCTCGATTTTTCATCTGTTCCTTCATATTATACTTCTTCGCTTTCGTCACTATGAATGATGCATATTCGATTGGGGAACGTTTTTATATTTAAACCAAATGTTATGGTAGCATTTATGGACTTTGCATATATTTTCAGCTGGGGACAATGTAAAGTTTAATTTTCCTATGGCTTGGAGTACGACTGTATTGACATGGGGATTGATTCAATGGAAAGATGCTTATGAGAAAACTGGTCAATTAAATCATATGTATGATTCTATTAAATGGCCATTGGACTATCTTTTAAAATGTCACACAAAATCGAATGAACTTTATGTACAGGTAAATATTATCTTCATAACATTTAATTCTAAAATCCCCATGAAACCCCATAATTGTACATTATGACAAACCTTTATGTGTATCATGATTTCAAGATAGCTTTAATTTTGCAGGTTGGTGACGGCCATACTGACCATGCTTCATGGACGAGCCCTGAACGTATGTCAGGTAACAGACCGGCATTTAAAATAGATACATCGCACGGTGGAGCTGATGTAGCCATGGAAACAGCTGCAGCATTAGCTGCTGGATCTATTGCTTTTAAAACAAAGGGTAAGTTTGGTTTAAGAATATTTTCAAAAATTTTAGGCTGGACGGAATTTACTCCTCGAAAAGGTAACAGTGTCATATCGCCAACTTTTTGTCTTCTCAGTTGCCGGTCTAGTTTTAATACTGTTTTTATAATTGCAGACAGTGCTTATTCCCATAAACTATTGACACAAGGCAAGTCAGTGTATCAGTTTGCTAAGAAGAGTAATGATAAATACAGTGTCAGTGTTCATGCTGCTGCAGCTTATTACAAGTAGGTTTGTTTTATCAAATATAACCATCTTCAGATGTTGACTAATAAGCCAACTGGCATTCCATAAGACAAAGTCCACTATCAAAGAAGAAGACATGGAATGCTGGATCATACACGATGAGCTGAATAGTTGGTGGTACTTGAGTCCTACGAAGCCTATTCCAGACGACCAACTATATATTAAATAGAAATAATTAAGTGTCAGCATTTCTGAGAAACAGAAAAGAATATTACTTTCTTAACGTTTCGATTTTAATGAAACATTACGGCAGTTTGTTTATATCAGGTTGTATAATATGTTCACGTGCGAAATGGTTTTCATAGATTCATTTATTCTTAGATCCAGTAACGTTACAGATGAATTGACCTGGGGAGCTTTATGGCTGTACAAAGCTACCGGTGACAAATCGTATTTGGCTGAAGCTGAGAAACATCACGAATCTGGTGCAGCTTGGGGTTTTTCTTGGGATGAAAAAACTGCTGGGAACAATGTAAGTTTTGATAACGACAACCAGTCTGTTTCATACAATAAACAACAAGACAAGTTTAATGTCATGTTAAACTACTGAACCAAGAATTTAACAATGCAATCATAGACAAAACGGGCAGATGTGATCACTTTAAGGTAAAGAATGGTTCTGCGCCTGTTTTGAGTTTTTCAGTCTAACGTTCGTATTTTATTCTTTTCCTTTCGGTGGTTACGTACAAAGCTAATGGCTAATAAAACATTCGAAACGAAACTAATAAAATACGAACGCATGTTAGGTCTGATTTGAATTAGACTAGGAGTTTTTTTTAAAGTTTTTAACAGCAAGAAATACATGCAATAATGATATAAGCGCATTCTTGTCACTTCAGATGTTGTTTTATGAGATTACAAAGAAGGATACATATAAAAAAGATCTCATTGATACTTTCAATGCATGGTTGCCTGGTGGAAAATTGAAATATACTCCTAAATGCCTAGCATTCAGATTGGAATGGGGTGCATTAAGATATGCAGGTAAATTTGACACGTTCTGCAGCGTCATATTTTTTTTATAAAAGAGAATGTAAATTGCTACCCTGCTAAAATGATCATTTTTCAACCCTATAAAAAGATGGGTTTCCTTTATTTTCATTTATGAAAATAAAAAGGCCAATTCTTTTATGAATAGAAAGTAGAGGTGTTCTAATGACTTTGAAAAATACCAGTTTGTCTCACATGTCCATAATTAATCCAAAATTATCTAAATAAAAAGAGAAATACCAGCAGAATTCCCATTACTAACCGCTCAAGAAAGGTAAGTCCCTTTTTTGTTTATCCAGACTGTAAATACATGGACATTCATGTTTGGTAAAAACCCTTAATTATATGCAATAAGAACATAATAATATGATTAAGAATATAAGAGAATTCATTAGAAACACCAATTAATCAAAAAGTTTGCTTAATTTGACACTAAAACTAAGGAGACCCATCTTTAACAACCTTATCCTTAGTTATCGAAACATAAGTCCCTAGGAATTTACTAATTTATCTCGATTTCAGCTAATACTGCTTTGATTGCACTGATGGCAGCTGACCATGGCATAAATTCTGACTTGTATAGAAAATGGGCTTTAAGTCAAATCAACTATGCTTTGGGTGACGCTGGTAGAAGCTATGTTGTTGGGTTTGGCAAAAATCCACCTGAAAAACCACACCACAGAGCGAGGTATTCCACGTTCTCTAGAAATAGTTTCAATAACAGACCAAACTTTGTACGGCCAACACCACTAATCTATTGTCAAATATGATACATAATGCATCTTACATTATTTCAAATTTACTTAACAGTTGCCCAATAATTAATAAATATTATATTTAACCTATGGTTATTATGGATAGATACTTCTAGAATATTTATTTCTTTCTTCATTTGTTATCTTCATTTGAAATGTACATAATATTTTACTTTTATTTCAGTGAAATGAATACAGCCTCTAGCACACGGGGCCTCGGTTTATTGTCCCATCCGAACAACTAGACGCTTTTTCCATGTCAGCCGCTCTTACCTCAATGACAAGGGGAAACCGGGTTGAAAAATCCGAAGGTATTATCTCGACCTATGTCGGGATTGAACTCTGGACCTTCAGGATAGCGTGCGTCTAGCTCACTGAGCCACCGCGGGTCCTAGACAGGGGAGCAAGAAGAAGACAGTGCAGTTATGTATTTATACCCTGAAGAGATAATGACACATTAAGACATATCATGATTGTCTAATATTTTGAACTTATGTTTCAGTTCCTGTCCCTTGACTCCAGCACCATGTGGTTGGACAGCACAACGAAATCCAGGGCCCAATCCACATACTCTTTACGGTGCCCTAGTTGGGGGTCCTGGTAAGAATGATGATTATGCTGATGACAGAAAGGATTATACAAAGAATGAGGTTGCCTGTGATTACAATGCTGGATTCCAATCCGCTGTGGCAGGTGAGGTCCAAACGCATTTTTTTTTATATTTTGACTCCTGATAAATGAAGTGTACCAAAAAATTGAGATCAAATATTTAATATAATTTCAATTATTAGAAAGAATAGAATCACGAATTTATGACCATATTATCGTCTGTTTCAGGGCTTCTACATCTAGCTATACACCATAACTTACCAACAGAATACAAGAGTGTATGTAATCATCATGTATAGAAATAAAAGACTTTAAACAGTGAAATGAAACTCATTAATTTATTGTGTGTTTTTTATTAACAAGTTGTATGCCTTTGTCGGAAAACGCCTCTTTTATACAACTGATTGAAAGCCTGGGTGGGGTTATTATGGGATTTTTACTAGTTGTCAAGAGAGCGATAAAATTGTTCCGTACCACGGAAATCGTTAGATTTCCTCGAGTAATGGAGAAGTACGTGTGTTTCAAACTGTAGATGGTCTAGATCTAATATTATCGCTTGCTGAACTGAGTCTGCAACCCTTATTTCATTATTTCATCTTTCAAAACACACATCCCTTTGACGCATACGTACATGTTTTCCTGATTTCCAATCCATTTTGCTGTTCCGGAAACATAATTAAATCATCTAAGGATAGGCAATTCTATATACATTCAAAGACATTTTATCAAGTTTATTGATGAGAAAGGAAATACATTTTTTCAAAGCGAGAGGATGGTGCCGACCTATGTTTCCAAACACATGATTTTTGCAAATAGTGTCTTAGTATGATTAATGTTCTTGATTCAACCTGTAAACCAGATGGAGGGAACAAAGAAATTTAATGATACTCCAAGTTGTTTCCAGAAGTCATCCATTTTGTACTTCATATAGCCAGGCTGTTTTTCTGATCTATCGTGTCTTACAGTTGTATAATGCTGGTAAGTGTTTATATTGGTTTCAATGTTGTTGACAAGTCTTCTCTTGGATTTGTTAAATTTCAGAGACACCATTTTACACTATATATCTGGAAAGAAATAAGATTTAAATGTCTCATTGAGAGATGGAGACAATATATTGACTCTCGGTTATTTTAAATACAATATTGAAAATACGTAATACACAATAATCTTATGCACTACGATTTTCAGAAGTAGGAGATAATCACATTATTTTGTAATATAATTCTAGATTTCTACATGGGTAATGATTTACTTTAAAATAGATTAAGCCTTGAAACGAAGTGTCTAAAAACGTCAGTTTAGTCTCATCTGACAAACAATAAATATTGTTCAAGCTTTTATGCGACATATATATTGGAAAATCTTCAACGAGTGTTGAATTTCGTGTTTAACATAGAGATATGGCAAATGAATTGCTGGTCTGAGTCCATAAAGCTGGATACCAGGATACCCGTTAACTCACTTGGCCTCTTTCACTTCGCCCACGCGTGGGAACTCGATGATTCCGTCGTAAAGTTTTTAGTTGCAATTGTGAAGATAGCCTTGCGAAGCCCACCAGCAGCTTTGATTGCAAGTACAAATCATTGTTTGTAGCCTGTACAGTGGGTATGAGCCAATTGTGAACAGACGGAAGAATGAAAAATATGCTTCCATACTACGTGTGGGCATATAAAATCAAAAGAGTCCAAAAAGGATTGTTGCTTGAAGAGTGAGCAAAAGTAACACTAAATGGTTAATAGAGTGAATACACTTAGTTGAAAAGGACATTTTGGTGAAAAATTATCAGATCATTTTGCAAATCGAAAGAGATCATTTTCATAATGACATTGACCCACAAAATAAAAAGCAAAAGAACCCGTAAAAAAGTGTAGCCTGTAGAGTGAGCACGAGCCAAATGTGAACGCACCGACGGACCGCCAGGGTGATTACAATATACGAACAAAATATATTTGTGGGCGTGTAAAAAGGGTCGGCAGTTTCGTGAGGGCAATCAATTTTTCGGTGGGGGAGGAGGTTGGTCTGTTTTATGCCCAATCAGAATATGTTATCCATCTTGTGGTCACTGATGTTTAGACCTACATGCTTGCGTGTCTAGGTCAAATTATAAACAATGTTCATTACGGAATGTTATACTAAAAGCGATATTGACGTATTACATGTATTAATTTATCACTTTCATGGAGTTATCACCTAATGCGACAAAGCAATTAAGTATGAATCAACTTCCTATTTTACAGGCTTTAATCGCTGTTTATTCATAAAATGAAATGAGAAATACAAAACAACATCCTTGTTTTTGTCTCATAAATTCATTGTTCTCCATTCCAATTATTTACTTTAATACTGGGTGTTAGAGGTTATGCAAATTAATCGTTTCTTTATAGTTGGAAATCTAAAAAAAGTGCCGATGTCCTGGCAAAGTTTCCCCTACGCTGCATTCGCCTTTTCATAAGCCCAGAGGTTCAGAACGGTAGAAATCCATTCATTAAGATTGAAAAATGAAACTATTCCTAACGACTGCAATTGGAATTTGAGTACAGGTTATTCATCTCAACTGATTTATTAGAGGACTGTATCCCTTTAAATCCTACCCTGACTAATCAGTGTAAAATGCAATGAATAAATCGAAATTCAAATATTTTCTTTCTCATTGATTCGCGAATAAATATATAGATGTAACTAACATTGGTAATCCAGAGTACTATACAATGTCACCCTGGCACCTGCATGATGTCCGCGCAATGACAAGCACTTAATTGTGTTGATCAGTAAAGTTTTCGTGAAGAAGCGTGAAGAGTGTGTGATGGGTGCAGGAGCGTGTGTCATGTCGATGAGAGGATTAAAATTTTTCTTCAATGCATACATTATTTCTTGCTATACCATATATATTAAATCGTGTTTTCCGGGTCACTGAGCACAATCCAGTTATTATTATTCATATTTTTTTATTCATATAAACAATATTTTATTTTATTAGTGAAAGGGGTCGAGAAACAGGCTTATTGTAGTCTATGTCATCCCTCCCCCAATTTAATCTATATTTACACACATACACATAACATATACATTTACATAAACCAAATACATGTATACATTTACATAAAACATACATACATTTACATAAAACATAAACATTTACATAAAACATTTACATAAAACATTTACATAAAACATATACATTTACATAAAAACATCACACTGCTCTTCAACCGGAAGAAAGGCTGGAATAAAAGTAGCAGAATTTAAATAGATAATGAAGATAGGTTAAGCTAAAATCGGTTTGTTTTTTTCAATGAAAAGATAAGTTTGTTGAAGTATTTTGATGTTGATATCGACAGATAGAGTTGAAGAGCCGTTATTATTCATATGGCAGTGATAAGGGACAAGATTACTGAAAAATCAACTCATAGCGATGGCGAAAACTCTTCGTGATAAAAGAAATCATCAACGTTATATCATTCAGTTCAATGGTACGAACATACAACACAACTTAATCGACCATCAAAACTCCTTCTGCGATAAAACAAGCATGTCTATGCAAACTGATGCTTTACACTCTTCGGGCCATATTAGGACAAGAGCATTGAGCGCACTGTATCTTTAAAGGAGCGTCGATGTCGGTCTTCACTGTTTACAGCACAGTATTGTTCGTGTCAGATTTTTAACAGATAGTTTGAAAACAATTTATCTCCACCAAACTTGCGAGGTACGGTATAAGGTTGTTTTATTTACCAAATTCCTTGGAAAAGCATCTCTATCGGTGTAGACGTTTTCTTCATTGGCGAGTGAGTTCTATAAAGTATCTGATGTACTGTACAGTCGATGTGACGGTAGTGAAACACGGATTTATTCATATGTAGTTGGTCCGGTTGTTAGACCACACTGGCAACATATGGACGGGGTTAACTGATAATTTTGAATCGGTCGCTCTCCAAAACGGCTGGACGTAATATCGAACAGATACTCCGTAGAAGAGGGCAATAAATCAATCGGTGGTTCATAGTGCTAATGAAGATGGTTGGAAGATGGGCTGAGAATTGTTTTGTCCTGTGATGACCGACATCGATGCGTCAAGGGTTCCAACATAAACATGGCCTGAAGTGCGTAATTGCATGCACATGTTACCATGGACATAATTGTTGCAAAGCAGGAATTTCGGTGGTCGAAGGGGTTGCTTAGAAATTAAGGAGCATCTTGTTATATATTCATGAGGGTCGACATGATACCACTGAACTCAATTGTCAATTTAACATCGACATTTCGCTTCCAATGTATACTGTCTGAAAACCTCACATTCAGATTGAAGAACGGAACACAATTTTATGGTATACTACTCCTTAGTTTTATTACACACGACGTTTCAACAATCTACATTGTCATCTTCAGTTCATCTATCAGACTAATCCAGTTCAGTTAGTAAATGATAGCGATTGCCAATCGCTATATGCCCACTATTGTAATAGCAGCGGTTGACAAGAGCTATCAATACATGAAATATTTCGAGACTAACATTTTCAAGAAAACAGCTCTCTATCGTGTCCACAACACATTTTCAACAAAAAAATGAACGCGTTTTGAACAACGATGGCAATAACTCCTATTAAATATTGTTTTGGAGTTTCAAATAGGGTTCAACCTTGGGTGATTGCAAACTCTAACACCAAGTTTCTTCAAAATCCATCTAGAAAACAACTCTCTATCGTGTCCACAATAAATTGAACTCGTGGTTATGTATAATTCTGACATATTCCCAGATACACACTTTCGTTGTCTTTAGTTATTCTCATAGCATAACAAGCCTCTGAAGATTATTAAGATTGAAAGAACAATACTTGCTTCAATTCGAAGGTTTCTCACTTGTGATCCACCACCACAAAAATACATTTTCGAATTTGCAAATGCAATGCACTAAATCTATTGCATCGTAAAGCTTAAATTGGTACTTTTTCCTAACAAAAGGTATCGCAATAAAAAAAATAATTCCGACTCAAATCTCGACAAATCAGATTTCAATTGGACAAAATACTGGAGCCACAATCGTGTGAAATTTTTACGAAATCAAGAACAAGTATTAAAAAAATCCAGCTAATCATGCCCAATTCGAACTAAATGTCTTCTTTTAAAATGCTGCTACTATGCCATCTTTTTCCTTTTGACGAAGTAAGGGTCAAATCATCTTACCTACAGCACAATCATACTACCGAGTTAGTTAGTGATACATGCAGAACAAAACATGAATAAATATAGAAAGTATTAAACAATAAAGTGTTAATGTTTATAATTATATTTTTAACCAGATCTACAATGAAAATACACTGACATTGAAAACATATTTCTCTTTCCTCGAACAATCACACATGGTTCACCATTACCTATCTTGCAGAATTTGTTTATCATCATCTTCATTTCTTTCGAAGTTCTTTTTAAAAGTCACCTTAAGTATCTTGTTAAAGGGACAGAAGCGGGATTTTCGTGAGTAAATCATACCGTGGTCTCAAAAACGTGCTTACATGTTTTCATTGTTTTACTACGTATTTGAGAATTATTCACTGTGCTGTTTTACACTTTACTATTTATAGGTGCTATTTTTGTTATTTCATTCCTTTTACAACAATAGCATAACATCCCTTTAAACGCCTTACGAAAATCTTTATTTTTAACAGCGTAGACCATAAAATTCATGCCTGAATTAAGAATGGCAATGGGTAAAGTTATATCAAGGGCAATATACGGCAAGTCGCTTGGAATGGAAATAGTAACACAGATAACAACTGGTAGCCAACACATTAGAAATATACCATAAACTAAAAATAATACTTTAATAATCTTCAAATCATTTATTATGGTCTGATGATGAGCTTTCTGGAGCGATTTCTGCTGTTGTTTCGCAACATAGAAAATATAACCGTAACACGAACCACCTAAAACAAAACAAATCATTACAGGAACAATTTGTCCATAAAGTCGGAATTCTTTCGACAGTACCAATTCAGCCCGACATTCACCGTTAGGCACCCATCTATTGTCATACAAACAAACAGTTCCATCTATAACAGCTATCGCTAGACAGATACATGTTACTATTGCGGCTTGATTGTAAGTAGCGATCCTTTGATATAAGAATGGACGTCCAATAAATACAGCTCTGTCAAAAGCAATCACTACTATTGAACAAATGGACAAATTCACAGAAACGAAAAATGTTACATTTCGCCACAAACACAGTTCCATAACAGTATCCAGTAATCTACGACCTTCTGGAAACTCAAAAAGCATTTGATACGGCAATAAAAGTCCAGCTATAAAATCAGAAAAAGCTAAGAGAGCCACATAACAATTGGATACAGATCGTAATGCATCTGTCTTCCATATCGCAATAATAGTCATTAAATTTCCTCCACAAATAAAAATGAATAAAAAGGTGTACACAACAACAAATATGATATTCGTTATTTCAAATGTATACGTCTTACAACTGTCACACGTAGAATTCATGGTGATTTATATTCAAGGTTAAGATATTATTATTCCATAATTAATACATAAGATGCTGCTATCAGAAACTTGAAGATAACACGATTTCAGTATCACTACCAGCTGTCTGACACTTTCCGATATTTAAGTTTCTCCTTTCTTTCATTTTGTTAATCTAATAGAAGGATGTTGAATTTCATTTTAAAATATCTTTTTAATTGTGAAAAGTAATTAGCAGCATAATCAAACTTCACGAAGAATGATCAAAGAAATGCCCAATTCACTTAAAAGGTTCTTCTGGTAGAAACTCAATATTATATAATTGTTAACCAAATATTTTGAATCCACTGATTTAGAAAGAGCACGAAGGTAATTGACTGTTTCTGCCGAACAAACATCCAATATATCGAGTTTTTATCGAGATTTAAACGACTGTTTACACTATTGTTATAGTAACAACTGGGGTATATTACATTTCATCATCAATAACCAGGAAACATTTCACTGTCAATGTAAGGGCGTGTGGAAAAGTTCGAATTTTTTTCCTACATAGTCCCCGTCATAGTTTACACACTTTTGCCTCCGGTGTTGTATGGTCAAGAAAAGATTTTCTACAACCACAAAAGATAAGGTCACACGAAGGTAAAATGACGTCATCATTAGTAGAAAATCGCGACTGGCTAATTAGTTTTTCATTTGAGAAACAGGCTGAGGCCTGAGAAGCCAAAGAGCTACAAACTAACGAGCATAAATCTTTTGACAAGTCAACCTCGTGAAACGGACAAGTCAACCTCAGAAAACTGCCACGTTTTGCAGATGATTAGGTTTACGAGATGGTAAAAAGACAATAAAAACACTACGGTTGCAGTTCATATGACATTAAATGAATGTACTTGATTGTTTCAATCAGATTGAGGTGTCCCACTTACAACTTTTTAGTGTGTCGTGTATGTTGGGCGCAATTACAGCCTTACACCCGTAGTTCACAAAACGTGGCTTTCAATGACAATTCCATGATAGCTTTTAATAATATTGAAAAAAAAATATCCAAAAGATTCAGAAATAAGATATCTGAAGGTTTAAAGATACGACATGGTAAACAATGGTGAGATGTTTCTACTAAAGTTGTTGTACCTTGACTAATTGACAAATAGATAAATTAAGTTAATTGACTTTTCTTTAGATGTATTAACTGATTGAGGGTAACGAAGCATTAGATATATTAAAATTAAAACAACAAAATTAAACTGTCTTAAAATGGGACACATTAGGACCGGCATTTGTCAAAATACCACCCAAATAGTGAAACCTTTAAAGAATTAATATTCCTCATTATTTGTCAATTGAGTTTGGATTTTAACATTAGAAAATATTATTCACACGTCGATGAGTTAATGTATTTTGAAGTGGTTATTTCTTTCTAACCTTTCCTGGTTTGGAACATAGCTCCTTGTTTTATTGATGACTTGTAGTACACTAATTGAAATGTTGAGAGATCTCATTTTATAAAAGCCATTGAGAGCGCAAATCAAATGTACATTGTATATTATAATAACTAAAACTCGTTGTATTGATTTACAGGATTCCTTTCAGGCGTAAAAGTAACGTTTATATCTGAAGCAACTTTATGGAGTTGTAACATCAGAATAAAATCATTTGTACGGATCATTTATACCATACACATCACTGACCCGTTACAACCACATTTTCAAAGCACGAGAATTTTGTGTAGTGCTTAAACTCGCGTTTTGTTGAACCGGTCAAGTTGCATTTCCGCTATTTTACCAGTAGTCTCGTTTACACGTGCACAGTAATTTTTTTTTTGAAACACCTCGGTAATCATGCCAGTCGACACTAAAACGAAACCGAAAATTAACCATAAATATGTTCGACGTTGAATGTTCATTTGGGCAGTGAGGACAGACGCAACCCCAAATAATGTCTTTTCGGCCAGTGTCATTGCTGTTCAACAACAAACAAGAAGTCACAAAACAATTTTGATAGTTTGAGTGGGGTAACTTATGAACATATGTTTATTGAATTTTAACAGTTCAAAAGAGTGAACTGATCAATAAGGTTTATTATGACAAGATAAATGAGGACACATTCTGTAATAAAAAGTGGCATCAAGTGTCCAGAAGAGTAAGCATACCAAGACCAAAATCAAACTGGTGATTTTCATGGTTACGTTGGAGTGATGGTTACAATGGTTCCAACAGCCCGTGCAGGACCGGTTGTGAAAGTCAGCTGATTCGACAAGACAAACTTAAGGGTACTGAGATTATATTTGTAATCTGGAGGTTAAATTTGTATTGTTCCTACAGTCATGTTCAATACATGAAATATAATGAAGGCCGCTGCGGTTAAAAATAATTCAAGGACATAGACGTTCCCCAAAAGCCTTGACATTATCTTTACAAGTCATTCTCACGATAATCAGATAACGGGTAGGTTCTTGTCTGGTCGACTAAACTTTAGGTAAGAACCATTTACTATTAAATTATGTGTGATGTGTGCCAATTTTAAGTGATTTTTTGGCTTAATTTTTCCATGAATGCTTTTCATATGACTTATGTATTGTTAAATATGGTACAATTCCTCCTGTCAGGATCAAACTTGCATTAGAGTTTAAGCTGATCGTTCTTCAAGAGCAGACCTGAAATCCAGAAATACTGAAGCATTAGACCAATTTGTATTTCATTCTGTTAAAGTTCGCGAAATACAGCGGTATTAACTTGAATATATATATATATATATATATATATATATATATATCACATCTATTTTCATATTTAGATAATATTAAAGATGTTGTCGGCTATTATATTGGCCCTAGTCGCTAATAGTCTTGCTCAAAACGTGGATGTCAAGATGAAGCTTCTGCAACACTGGGATAATAATTTTGAAGGCCAGTTTTGCTACACTTTAACTCATCACATAGTTGGATGGGAAGTCATTATAAAATTTGACCAACCAATCAAACATATACAGGTAATTCTATTTTCAAGTTGTGTACGAGACTAAAAATTTACGCGATAGAAATCTCTGACTGTTGATTATTACAAATTTTAATTTAAAAAATCTCCAGTACGCCCCGTGGTGTTCTGTCTGTTAGAATCGTCATCAAAATACTAATCGTTTTTTATATACCCACATGGAAGGTTTTGCCATTAAAGTCACTTTAGACTTTGTTATCATTTTTAACAGCTGGTAGTGGACTTCCCTGACAAGCTATCTTTTATGCATGTTTTCCTTAAAGATGGGTTCCCTTATTTTCATTTCTGAAAATGAAAATGCTAATACTTATATGAATAGAAAATAGAGGTATTCTAATGACTTGGAAAAATATCAGGTGGTCTCACATGTCATAATTAGCTAAATTAGAAGAGAATTATTAGCAGAATTCCAATGAGTGACCGATCAAGAAAGGTCAAAAAGTCTTTTTTTTTGTTTACACTGAACAATGAACATACATGGACATTTATGATTGGTTAAAACTCTTTATTATAAGAACATAATGATATGATTAAGAATACACGGTAATTGATTAGAAACACCAATTAATCAAATAGTTTGCTTAATTTGACACTAATAAATAAGGAAGACTATCTTTAAGCAACATTGCACGATAATGATCATCTAGCCGTTTCTTTCGTCATTAATTTTGATTGGTAGAGAGTTTACTTCTCTACTAATTAGATTCCTTCAAACAAATTGTCGCGGAAAAATGTTTGAATAACTAGACACAAGATTTTAGTAACAAATTTGCTTTCTGATAACTAAGTCTCAAAGTTCACGGTCGAATTTTTTGTCATAAAGTGTCAATTTTTAAACAGCTATTATATAGTTTTCAGAAGAAAAATGAAAAGAATATGTTCTATAATCTTTACAACAGAATATTCACATTTGAAATGGCAAAGCGAGTACGACTACTCCGAATGAATTATCTCCTCTTCAATTTCGCCATTACCGGAAAAATCCCATCTGAAAAGTTTGAAAATTGCATAAGATGGACGGAAGTTTTACAATGCTCTGAATTTTTTTGTGAACATTAAGTGTTTGTGTTTGAAACTTTCTGTCAAGTTTCACATCGATGGATTATCGAAAAGGTGGTTGGTGCGTAACTGCTACATTTCTGGATAATTCAATGGAGGCCACCATTTGCAATCACGATCCTTTTACACCAAATGTTACGAGATTACTGATTGGATAAACTTAATAATGACGTATGGTTTGCCAAGGTATGTTATCAGTGTCTAATGACGAGAATATGGGATTATTCAAGCAACGGTTAGAAGTGAAAAATCGTACCGTTGCTTAATGAACATGTCTTCTATGATATTGAAGAGTAAAACA